CCCCACATTCCTTGTCGCCTCCCCCTTGCTCAACCCCCTTCCCCCTTAGGAGCACCATTGTCAGGGACTACTGCCCCCAAGGAACACTAATGTCCTCATCCCTGTTGACAGCGCCTGCGCACCTCTGTTCTTTGCCATCGTCCCTCTTCTTCCTCACCCCATAGTGACACCCCCCTCTTCTCCTTCCACCACGAGAGAAAAAAACAATTTGGATCGGTTTGAATGAGAACTTGAAATCTATATTTGAATTGGCTATTTGAAGGGAACAATTTGTAATACATAGTACTACTATAATTTAGAATTTTTAAAAAAGATAGTTATTACTGCATCTTAGGCTCAAAGAAACCAACTAATTGGAAACATGATTTTAAAAGATGCACAATATAGAAGGTTTTGTTAAATAACTTTCGTACATGATTTAAAACTTACTCTTGATTTTAATTGTGATTTTGGGTAACTAATAAATCTCCCGTTTCCTAATAAAAAGATTAATTTACTACAATTAAATACCAAAAATACATTTACCGCAGACTAGAGTGATGTGGCAGGTGCATTAGTTGAGCTATATATGTGTGCGTGTGTTTCATAACCGGCTCAGATCTGCGCTGCACATCCATTCAGCTTAGAAGCGGTTTCCATGGGCCAAGGGTACTTAGACAGTGTAGTCTTGTACTATTACGTATATCCTTGTTGTACTTGTGGAAATTTGAAATTTGTCACTTGGCATATATATACTGCCACTGCGGAGGGGCTGGACTTAAATGAGGAGGTTTTCAAGGTGAATAATACGGCGAGCTATTGGGTAATTGATTCGATCCAGTACCCTGACGTGCAGTGCACGACACACGGTCGAGGTATACTGCTACGCAAAAAAAAAGGCACTTCCTATTTTTTTTAGAGGTGGTTATAATTCTAACGGTACCTAAAAAAAGTTACAGAGAGACTAGCTAATAGACCACAATTGAAAATAAGTAAATTACACTCACCATACAACAACTATCCAAGTGGGTGCATGTTAGTTGAACATCTTGTAATTTGTCCAATTTAATACAACAACTATCTAGGTGGGTGCATGTTGGTCCAACATCTTGTGATCTATTTAATTTGGTGCTAGAACTTGGCTCATTGGTGCATATACGGTCCAAGCATTGTAACAACGTGTCATTGTACACTCTGAATCATTGTCATTGGAAGCTATACCCTAGCACGCTCATGTCATCCATCACTTAGCTTGAATTCTTGACTATATTGTGATACCATTTCTAAATTTGGCCAAATATAAAAACTACCATTAATTTCATAAATATGAGAAATACCAAACCAGCCATTTTTCTAATACTTTTTTCATCCGTTTTCACCCCTACCCATGGTCATTCATGGCTCGCTAAAGCTGTTAATATAAGTGGGCTGTCCATCGTGGAGGTAGAGTTGCAACTCTATTTAGGGGTGGGCATTCGATTAACTGAAACCGATCGGTTTGGTTCTTGGTTTTCATGAAATTCGGTATAGTGGTTTTTCTTTCTATACTATAATGCTTGTTTTTTGAGTTTATTTGTTCAAAAGGATGGGTAGTGAGCACTTGGTTCCCTTAAGCTTATCGGTTTATGTCCCTCTTAATAGTATGACTTTTTCTATACTCAAATTCAAAACAAAAATTTAAAGTTAGCCTTCGATGGGCAATACGCCGCAGCAATTTGAAGGGGGGGGGGGTTCTTCTTGTGTTGTCATGCACCCACATATGCTTATAATATGTCCATATCTCACAAATATCATTACACCCTTAATTGTACTAATATCAATGTGCCAAAACCCATTAGGTTCTTAGATGCACTTTTAACCGTGCACACCCCAAAACTTGATCGCTTGGCACACCCGAGCAGATGTCGTGGTGTGGCCCGACTCGTGCATGCTCATGACTCGGTGCGGCGGTGGCACGCGCACGCGTGTGGCACGCCCTTCTAAGTTTTTAATAGGAACACACATAGTCCACCTAATGTTTAGTCAAAATCTCATATGAGACTAAACTATATTGCACTATAACATTTAACATGGGCTAAGATTTATTTGATTTCATTGAATTAAAAATGGACCAAGCCTAAATTAAATCCAATGAGAGATCAAGCTTTCCTACAAATGAGTCATTATCCCAGCGTTTCTGTCTAAGCATTGGATGAGCTGAGCACGCTATGATGTAGTAGCTCCCAATGACATCGGACACATGTGTTTGGACCGCATATGCATCAATGAGCCAAGTTCTCGCATCTAATTAAACAGACTACAAGATGTTGGACCAACATGCACCCACCTAAATAGTTGCCGCATTAAATTGGACAAATCATAAGATGTTGGGCTAACATACACACACTTGGATAGTTGTTGTATGGTCAGTGCAATTTACTCATTAAAAAATTGATTTCTAGCCACGGTTGGTAACACCCACTGGTCAATGCCACTCGATATAAGGCTATGTTCGCTTGTCTTATGAGCCGTACTATTTCAGCGAATGAACGGTGTTTTTCTCTCACAACAAATCGACAAACAGTACTTTTAGCCATGACTTTTCAGCAAAGCGAACTGGGCCAAAGGCATTTCCAAGGATGGTTGATGTTACCAACATTCCTAGGAAATACCTCTATTTCTAGAAGCGGTGATATTGTTATCTTATGATAGAAACTGATTTTAAACTATGTTGGTAAGCTTGATCGCCCCAGAACCAGGTGTCGCACAAATAAATTCATAATTGTTTCGAATAAGATAGTAGATAACTTTAAAATTTTAAATTGTTTAGGGGCCTAAAATTACATTTTTATTTTTTAGTTTTTTATATTCAAATCTTTGATTTTTTTTTCAAACAACCTTGGATGAAAAGATGTTGTATACCAATGTTGTACTCTCTTGACGGAAGTCTAGAACTTTGTAGTTGATTTATTTTATTTGAGATCATTTAGATCCCTAAGTATTTAATAAAAAATTTCTACAAGTTCATCCTTACAATAGTGTGACTTATGACTTGGATCCTAGGATTATTTTTTTGCTAATGTTTACAACTATTTTTAACTTTTAGAAATCAATTTTAGAGACAGATCATGTTACAACTATACCCTTAGAAATGCTTGATTTTATCTAGGCGCTTAATTAAGTAGAGACATTTACGAAAACCACACACTACAAATTAACTTTTTAACCGTAGCTAAGTTTCTATAGTAATGGTATGCTTGAATGGATTTTGCTCCATGATACACGAGTATGTTGGGAGGATCTATAGTTTCTTGTTGGCAATATGAAAGAGTTAAGAGTTAGACTTTTATAACACGGTCTCATAATAAATAAAAGAGGAGGGTTATCATTGTAACTATGATGATGCATAGGTTTATGGGAAGTAAAAGACGCCTAGTCAGGACCCTAGAGTGGCCGGTGTTGTAGTATTATAAGGAGTGGTCGTACTCATTCTCCGAGGATGTAGGTTTCGGCTGAATCCGGCCCGTCAACAAATATCGTGCATATGGTGTTATCTTTGAACTTGTATATTTATCTCGATAGATTTAATCAATGTTTTTGTGCATGTAAAATTAATGGAATATTAATACTATTAGAGCTAATTTGTGGGGCTGTGAAAATTTGACATAGAAAAGGCAACATGACGTCAACTTGCACTTGCACCTGCTCCCTCGATCAGTCCCATAAAAAGTGTTATTCTCAAAGTTTCTCAAAGTTATTAAGCCATTTTTCGATTCAAATACTCTTTAGTGGTTGGCTCTATACTGATCCAAACGAAGCCAAACTGAAACTAGTTTGCAGAGTGGTGAGGAGCAATTTTTTATCATGCAGCGTGTATTTGGTTGAGTTGGGCAAAATTAGATGGCCGAAACCCACAATATCTCTTTGGACTTTTCAATTTACAATATCAAAATGAAATTAATTGTGTAGAACGAACGTATCTTGTCCACATGTTCACATCGAACGAGTTGAAACATTTCATACGGCACTACGAAAACATATGTAGTAGGAGAAGCGAATTGCCGTCTCGGGTAATCACATCCATCCAAGTCCAAACCACTCCGTACGTTATATCCATCAGTGCACGTTCATACTTCATATACTACTAATAACCAGTGGCGGACCCAGGATTTAAATCCAGGGTATGCCTAACCAAAACTTTATTATCCAATATGGTATAATCTAATACAAAAATTCGGTAAATGGTTCGGTTAAAAATATAATATATCTACAAATTCTCATAATACAAAGGGATTTGATTTTTTATTACCTCCGAGCGACGGCGAGCAGCTCTAGCTCCGCAGCTGCCGGGGGGAGCGGGTGCCGCCGGCCGCAGCGGGGAGCGGGGCGGCGTGGCCGCGTGGGGCACGCCGGCGACGCGAGCGTCCGTGCGGGCAGCAGGGGGAGGCCGGAGGTGTGGCCGCGTGGGCTGGCGGAGCGGGTGGCCTGGCAGCGAGCGCAGTGGCAAGTGGCGGCGCGAGCGGCCGCATGGGCGAGCGGCGCGACGCGATTCTGCGTCCGTCGATTCGCGGAATCGGTCGAAGCACGAAGCTGCTGGCGGCTGCCCTACCCCTACGGTGGATTTGGGGGAGTGGGGAAGTGAGTGGGAAGGCTAGATGGGCCATGGGCCGTCCAGATAGGCGTGGTCTGTGGGCTTCTTTCATTTACACGTGAATTACAGTCATAAAATGGCAAAGAAACGCAATTTTAACACATTAACTATATTATACATACATGTATCTCTAGAAACTATTAAAATTTTGCCTAAAAATGTAGGGTATGCCCGGGAATACCCGGGCACAACTATAGGTCCGCCCATGCTAATAACGTAGGAGAAGCGGAAAGACCACTATATAATACCACGCACGACGAGACTTACCTCAAACCATCAAGCAAATCAGAGAACAGGAAGTAGGAAAACCAGAGTGCCAGCCTGCGAGGAGAGCCTGACCATTTTTTTTTTCAGGCTAGCAAAGATGACCACTGCCGGAACTGTTGCCACCATGGCGATGTTCCTCCTGGTCACGCTCTCTGCTTCCCAAATGGCGTCCTCCCTCCGCCCACACGCTGGCCCCGGCACATGCCGCCCCAGCGGGTACCTCCCGGGCCGGTCTGGCAATTGTGAGAAGAGCAACGACCCGGACTGCTGCGACCCGGGCAGTATCGCTGCTCGCCGCCGGTCACAGCCAGCACCAAGGCAGTGCTGACGCTCAACAGCTTTGAGAAGAACATTGACGGCGGCGGCCTGTCAGAGTGCGACAACGCGTACCACAGTGACGAGGAGAAGGTCGTCGCGCTCTCAACGGGATGGTTCAGCAACATGGCGCGTCAAGATCAGCGCAAATGGTAACTCCGTGTATGCCAAGGTGGTGGATGAGTGTGACTCTGTGGAAGGCTGTGACGAGGACCACAACTTTGAGCCGCCATGTGACAACAACATCGTCGGCGCGTCGCCGGCTGTGTGGGACGCCTTGTGGCTCGACCAGAACATTGGGATGGTAGACATCACCTGGTCCGAGGAGTGAACATCAGCTACAGTTCTGGTTATGTTTGCTTTGTTGGTGAGACGTGCTGTGTAGTGTGTATAAGGAGATAGAGAGATCGATTCGTGGTCCATACTTCAGGTAGGGTCGTTGGCTCGTGGCACACTGCACTATACGTATTGTATCCCATTGTATTGTTGTGTGTATATCATATGGAATAAAAGATGTCATTCATCAGTCTATATACGGCTCTACGACAGGCATTCATAGTATAACGTTATGCCACATCATCAACAAGCTAGCATTTCAGCTGTCCAATTTTTATGGTATGCTAAATTTATCCCGCCTTACTTTATTTAGGACTTATTTTTGATAAATCCATCATCTCCCATTAAATGTGGATTCGTGTGGTGAATAGATATATCTACTATACCTACATAGGAGACCCTCACCAATAGATTTCTCAACAATTTTGTGAGGCCATATCATCCAAGGGTCCCACAACCATAGGTCCACATGCAGTGGCAGTTGAACCATCACCTTCATCCATGTTCACAACTTAGGCAGAGCCGCCTCTCAGATTCCAAACATGCGAACTGAACATTCATTGCTATCCAACTCAGGTAGCATCGGCTCTTTGTTTCCAAACCAGCAAACTCAACTGTCATTCCTATCTATTGATCTGCCTCCTCCATCTCCCTACCGACGAGCTGGCCATTTTAAACCCCAATGGCACCTTGCAGTTCTCATATGTTGGGCTTCCTACTGTGCCTCATCAAATGCTCTCGGCCCCGTACGAGCGGCTGGGCTAGCATGATTTCTCACCATAGGTTGCTAAGCCAGTTTTGGTACCATGTCAAAATGAATAATTGACTCCACCATTGTGTTCCTCTCATTGTGATGATTGAAAAAAAATATATAGGCCATCCAATTTGGACTTCAGACAAATAAAATGCAATTTTAGAAAAATCATCCAGAAAAAGCCGGTTAAACCGGTTTTGTAAACTTCTTAGCTGGTTTTGTAAACTTCTCCAAATTGAAGAGTGGACTCCACTGTTTTGTTTCTCTTGTCGAGACCATAAAAACATATATAGATCATCCAATTTGGAATCCAAATGAAAAAATTACGTGTTGACATTAAATTTGGGATGGAAGCGACAAAACCAGCTTAGGGAGTTAATTTGTGTCCTATGGATGGGCTTCCCAGAAGAAACTGGCATTTCAAAAACAAGCTAAGCGGGTTTTCATAGTCTAAGTCAAAATCAAATCTACTTCGATGAGAACTTGACCAATCATGTAGGTAACTTGCAGATTTTGTCTAGGATATGTTTTCTACTGGGATAAGACCATCTTTACTATATATATATATCAGAGGATCACAGCCGATTGAGGTATCCAACACACAATCATAAAAAAACAACTTACTATCCTGTTCCCCTACCTTTAGCTCTTCCAGCCCATTACTGTATAGCACCTGTCTCGACGATATTTATTCGTGTTTTAGGTGTCCTTGCCGAGCCTAGGGCCACCCCACTGTGCTAGCTCCTCCCCAATGGGTCTTTTTGGGAGGTGTTCGTAGATTTTTCGGGCGAAGAACGAGTGTCAAATCTACATAGCCGAACTTGCTAGTCACGCTCACTGTTTTTTACCTCCCTTGTTGCATGCATAGCCACATGGGCCTTAGGCAACCTCAGGCGATCTAGCTCTTGCTAGTGTGTGTAACCAAAATTTACATCAACAGACTTTTTTTGTGACTCTGCTAAGGAAGAAAGAGATCCAATCTATTGTCAACAAGTCTAAAGACATGGCAAGAAGATGAGCGATTTAACTGATCCAAAGAATCAAGATAACATTGACTCATCCGCAATGTTCGAGCAACTTCCCGAGGATCTTCGCAAGATGTTCGAGGCCAAATATGATGCCGATCTAAAAGAAGTTCTTGTGAGTTGCACGATGGATTGGCGGGATGTGGTCATCCAATACAAAGATCCCATCTCTAGTGACCCTTCAACATCCACATCTACAACATCTGAGTTAAAGGGCGATGAAAAGGTTGATGATCCGCCACCTACTCATGTTGATTATGCTAATATGCTAGATGATCATAAGAAAATGAGTGGTAATAACCTTTGTAAGGAAAATGAACCTCGTGGCCCATTTAGTTTGGGTTTTGGTTTTTGATGATCAACAAGACCATTTGGACAAACATTATTTGCCAGTGTTTTTGGATATAGTTCAAAGGGTGCAAAAGTGGACTTGGACTTAGGCAACATGGTGATCCAGAGGATCAACACCTCAAGCAAGACATTAGGAGCATTGTTGAAGACCTAAAAGACAAGTAAAAGTCCAAGACACAAGATGGTACCAAACCGGACGCAAAGATCATGAAGAAACAAGTTGAAGAAAGGCTCTAAAGGGTGTCAGACCCTAGGGGCGTCGAACCCTAAAGGGGTCGGACCATAGGGTAGACCAAACCCCAACACAACGTTAGCAGGGCGTCGGACCGAACAGTCCCACTGTTCATGTGCAGGAGGAGTGTCGGACCGAGCCAACAGTGAGGTGTCGGACCAACAGAGGCAGCGTGCCATCGTCCGACGATGTTCAGAGAGGTTCCAAAGAGGAGATTGGGGCATCAAATAGGTCCGAAGAAGGGCGTCGAACCATATGCCACGTAGATGCGCCCAAAGGTCGGATAACGGTCGAATCTAACACATGACCATTGTGAGACAGTGGACTCTGATAGCATTGGTTCATCGACCAAGCATCGATGGTCCAACGGTACGTAGAATGTTGTACCAAGGTTTCAACTGTTATGTCTTTCTTTGGGGCTATAAATAGGACCCCAACCGCCCAAGAGAAGGTTGTTGAAGTGTGTTGAAGATATAGGAGTGTTAAGATACCCCACCAAGTGATCTAACCACCACAAGTGCTTAAAAGAAGATTAGGTGATTAATGTAGGTGATTTATGAAGTGCTTAGGCTAGTTAGACCTACTTAATCGTGTTTGCTCTAGATTTAGGCCTAGTGTTTAGTGAGGTTTGGATACCTCAAAAACAAAGGTGCTTGCTCGCACCGTGTTTGTACTCGGAGGGGCTTGTAGTCTTGCGAGACCACACCAACCGCGTTTGTCGTATGGCCGCCACTGTGTACTGGAGGGAACGAGGCCCGCGACGGTTCGGCTGGAAGCTCAATAGTGGAGATTGCGAGGAGCGGTCTAGGAGAGGCATTCTGGAGACCCACCTGTGTATCGGAGAGACCTAGTGCTATCCATGGAGTTACCCGACCAGGAGTATGGCCCTTGCGAGGGGCTCCAATGAGGACTAGGGAGAAGCTTGCGTGTTTCTCAATATACGTTGATAAAAATACTGGCATCGTTAAACGGGAGTTTGCACCTCTATCGCCTCTTACCTTCCGCATTTACATGGTGTACCTTGGTTGTTTGCTTTACCTTCCTAGCTTAGTTGATAGGCTAGTTGATAGGATTAGAAGTTAGTTTGCATAACTCTTGCGGTAGAGATAGCAACACACCTAGCAAAACCTTAGTTGTACACGTAGATAGTTTATCTTTGCATAGGTTTTGCTTAGGTTGAAATTAGAGCCCATACACTACGGGAACAGGGCCTTTGTCGAGTGCAACTTTCTTTGCCGAGGGCTAAAAGTCGGGCACTCGGTAAAGAGCTATTTTACCGAGTGCCGCACTCGGCAACGATATACACTCGGCAAAGAAGGCTTTGCCGAGTGTCAGGCACTCGACAAAGCCAGACACTCGGCAAAGGCCCTTTTTACCGAGTGTCAGGCACTCAGCAAACCCTGGCGCTTGGCAAAAAATGGCGTTAGGTAACGGCTGCCGCCTGCCGTCTAGGTTTGCCGAGTGCCAGTGGGTAGGCACTCGGCAAACCACTTCTTTGCCGAGTGCCAGACCCTGACACTCGGCAAAGAATAACGACAAACTATTTTTTCCCACTTTTGAACTCTAAAATTTTTCTCGAGTCCTCCTACGGTACATGAGACTCCGTGTTAAAATTTGGTACATTTTTATGGCTTTTTGCTATATTTAGTTAATTTATTTCATTTAATTGATTTTTTTTAGAAAATGCAAATTTGAACTGCACGTGCATCAAATAATGGAATTTAATGATTCAAAAAATGATATTCATGGTACTGAGTGTAGTGTGAGGCCGTATCCAGGAACGGACCCAAAATTTAGAACATCTTGTTCACAAAACATGACCACGAACTTGCGGACGAATTATTTTTAAATTCTATAAAATGCAAACGAAGTCCGAAAATCATAAAACATGTCGAGATGTCATGATATCGTATGTGGAGAATGTGATAAAATTTTGAGAAGGTTTGGTGCACGTTATCACGTACGATGCTTACAAACCATGTAAGCATCGTACGTGATAACGTGCACCAAACCTTCTCAAATTGGACTGGTTTGTAAGCATCGTACGTGATAATGTGCACCAAATCTTCCCAAATTTTTATCACATCCTCCACATATGATATCATGACATCTCGACAAGTTTCATGATTTTCGGACTTCGTTTGCATTTTATAGAATTTAAAAACAATTCGTCCGCAAGTTCGTGGTCATATTTCATGAACAAGATGTTCGAAATTTTGGGTCCGTTCCTGGATACGGCCTCACACTACACTCAATACCATGAATATCATTTTTTGAATCATTAAATTCCATTATTCGATGCACGTGCAGTTCAAATTTGCATTTTTCGAAAAAATTGAATTAAATAAAATAAATTAACTAAATATAGCAAACAGTTCGGGAAATGTACTAAATTTCGACATGGAGTACCAAGTACTGTAAGAGGACTACAGAAAAAGTTTGGAGGTCAAAATACAAAAAAAATTTGGTTTACCGAGTGTCATCTTTTGACACTCGACAAACATGCTCTTTGCCGAGTGCCAGCTGCCAGGCACTCGGCAAAGTGTTCCCTTTGCCGAGTGTCCGTGGGGTCCGTGGGGACACTCGGCAAAGAGCGTGCCAAATTTTTTTAAAAATGTTTGCTGAGTGCCTCT